GTCTGTGTAGCCAATAATATGGAAAGGATAGAATCTGCGTGGTCCCAAAGGGAAGATGTTTGGTGTTTTTTAAAATACCAGTTATATTAATAATCACCATCAGGTAGCTCCTAACTGGCAGGTATCCCTGCCAGTATCCTCCCTGCAAGTATGGCTTAGACATTGATATCTGTAAATAACAAAATTCACTTGTGTCCATAGGTCTTGACTATATTTGTCTTAGTTCACTGTATTTGTATTAGTAGAGTAAAAGGGTGGCTACATTTTGGAAAAGTCTCTGTTTGCTCCAAATTTACATGCTGAGAGAAACTGGCTAACTTTGCATGTGTAATATCAAAGGAGTCAAATTCTCTGAACACTTCATGCTATCATTTGCATTTAATTTAAGTATCACTAAAAGTTTAAAAGGGACATTTTTGGGATAATTTAGGGTATAATAATAAAATAATTGTTATTAGGCAACGATAAATAAGATTATTGAATATTTCTTTGTTTTAATTATGTGGTCTGGGCTAATGGTGAGGAAGCTATCAGTTACTCATTAATCTTGGTTAGTATCATTGATCTTTACCGAAGAAGAACTGTTGGCACTTTCTACACCAGTGGGAGATAAATGGTAAAGGAATGGATTAGACAACTTGAACAAAAGAAATACAATTAGCAAATAAGTGTATTGAAAAAATGGTCATTCTCACTAATAAACAAAGAAATGCTCATTACAAATCTGAAGTATCATTTTGCATCTATTAAATTACTAGAGTTTTTAAAAAATGTCAGTACTAGTAAGACTGTGATGAAACTGTAGAGATATACATTTTTAGAGGCAATAAAATGATACAAACCTTTCAAAAAGTAATATTAATAACATAAATCAAGAACCTAATAAATGTTTCCATTTTGGGAAATGTGTCTAAAGGAAATTTTAGAATAAGAAAAAAGTAATTGATGTTAACATAACATGTTCATTGCAGCACTGTTTATAATATTAAAACAATATAAATAACCCCAAATATTCAACCATCAAAGGATGGTTAAATAAATTATATCTTCATAGGAAGTAATATTATATAACACCAAAATAATAATTATGAAGAGTCTATCAGAAATGCTTACATTCTAATGTTAAGAAAGACACAGGAAATGAAATTATAGATGCTCGGCATATATATAAAACTATGTGAAACACATGTGAACATATAGAGTCAGTAGGGTAGAGTGCAAAGTACACACGCTTAGCAATAAGACAGGTTTCAGTTTGAATTCTGGCTCCACATTTGCAAGCTGTTGATTTTCGACAAGCTATTTAAGTTGTTTTTTCATACTATAAAATGGGGTTATTCATATCCACCTTCTAGGACTGCTATGAGAATTAAATTAGGTAGCTCTGTGAAATCTGAGAGAAGATAATGGAATTATGGATGATTTTTTTTTTACTTTCTCTTTTTCCCACTAATTTTATAAGGTTTTT